ATAATTACCTACACACCCAATGAAAGATCCCCAAAATATATGAATCAGACTTTAACATGAAAAGACAAATAGATGACTTCACAGTAATAGGAAACTTAAATGCACCACTTTCAATGAAAAAACAACTAGAAAGAAACTCAACAAAAACAAAGAAGAACTAAACAATACAATCAACAAATGGACCTTATAGATGCTACAAAGCACTTCATCTAACAACAGCACAATATACATTCTTTGCCAGTGCACATGGAGCTTTGTCCAGGATAGACCATATGTTAAGCCACAACAAGTTTAAGAATGTTAAAATACTGCAAAGTCTCTTCTCAGATCACAATGCTATAAAATTAGAAATCAATAATAGGAGGATCAATGGAAAAAGAGCAAATACATGGGAACTGAAAAAAAACCTCCTTAAAAACTACTGGGTAATACAAGAAATAAAAAAGGAAATAAAAAATATTCCTTGAGCCAAATGATAATGAAAACACTACATACCAATATCTCTGGGACACAGCAAAAGCAGTGGTTAGAAGGACAATTTATAGCAATAAATGCACACATTAAAAAGGAAGAAAGAGCCAAAATCAACCCCTTAACTCAACCATTCCAACAATTAGAAGAAGCGCTGCCAAAAAAAAAAAAAAAAAAAAAGCCTACAATCATACAATCACCAGAAGCAAAGGAAAAAATAAAGATTCAAGCAGAAATAAATGAAACAGAAAATAGACCATAGGAAAAAAATCAGTAAGATTGGACAGTGATTCTTTGAAAAGATTAATTAACTTGATAAACCACTGGTAAACTTAGCAAAGAAAAAGAAAGAGATAATACAACTAGAATTAATAAGAAATTAAATGGGCAATGGCACAAAAGAACCAACGGAAATAAAAAATAATAATAATATGAGGATATTATGAAGAATCATACTCCAACAAATTTGAAAACCTAGAGGAAATGGATATATTTGTAGAAACACATCATTTACCTAAACTAACACAGACTGAGGTAGGAAATTTGAACAGACCCATAACAAAAGAAGAAATTGAATAAATAGGTCATTAAAAACAAACAAACAAAAAAAACACTACAAACAAACAAGCAAAAAAAAAAAGGCCTGGCCCAGAGGGTTTCACTGGAGAATTCTACCAAACATTCAGAGAAGGGCTGACACCAATACTACTCAAATTATTCCAAAACATAGAAAAACATGGAATCCTCCCAAATTCATTTTATGAAGCAAGCATAACCCTGATACCAAACCGAAGACACAACCAAAAGAAAACTACAGATCAATATCCCTTATGAGTATAGACACAACAATCTTCAACAAAATTTAGCCAATAGACTCTAACAACATCAAAAACAATAATGCACCATTACTAAATGGGATTCATACCTCGTATGCAAGGATAGTTCGACATTAGGAAAACAATCAACATAATCAATTACACAAGTAAAATAAAGGAAAAGAATCACATGATCAGATCAATAGATGCAAGAAAGGCATTTGATAAAATCCAACACCATTTCCTTCTCAAAACTCTCAGAAAAATAGGAGTACAAGGGAAATTCCTGAAAATAATAAACGGCATATATGTAAAGCCAACAGCCAACCTTTTTCTCAATGAAGAGAAACTAAAAGCATTCCACTTGGGAATGGGAACCAAGCAAGAATGCCCTCTATCACCACTTCTATTTTACATTGTATAGGAAGTCCTAGTCAAGGCAATAAGACAGGAAATAAAAGCCATGCAAATTGGTAAGGAAAAAGAAATACTAACCCTATTTATAGAGGATATGATTCTATTCACGGAAAACCCAAGAGACTCAGCAAGAAAACTACTGAAACAAATTGAAAGATTTAGCATAGTGGCAGGATACAAAGACAACATACAAAAATCAGTTAGATTTCTCTACACCAACAAAGAAATCACAGAAAAGGAAGTAGTAAAATCAATGCCATTTACAATAGTTACAAAAAAAGATTGTTGTTGTTGTTGTTATGTGCCGTCGAGTCAGCCCTGACTCATAGCGACCCCTCCTTGGGTTTCCGAGGCAGTATCACTACGGAAGTAGGATTGCCCAACCTTCCTTCCGAGGAGTGGCTGGTGGGTTTGAACCGCCAGCCTTCTGGTTAGCAGTCAAGTGTCTTAGCCACTATGCTACCAGATTAAGGGGGAAAAAAAAAACACTCACTGCCATAGAGTTAGTTCTGACTCATAGCAACCCCCACTGGGTTTCTGAGGCTGTAAATCTTTATGGAAGTAGATCACCCCATCTTCCTTCTGTGGAGCAGCTTGTGGGTTTGAACTGCTGACCTTCTGGTTAGCAGCCAAATGCCCAGAGACACAAAAGACATACCAAAACCAAAAAACAAACTCACTGCCATGGAGTCGGATCCAAATCATAAAGACCCCCTCCTTGGGTTTCTGAGGTGGTATCACTACAGAAGTAGATTGCCCAACCTTCTCTCCACCAGGAGTGGCTGGTGGGTTTGAACAGGCAGCCTTCTGGTTAGCTGTCAAATGCCTTTTAGGCACTATGCCACCAGAGCTCCCACAAAAGACATATTCAAAGAAAACTGTATGAAAATAATAATAAGAAGAGAGCTACATAAATGGAAGAACATACTATGGTCATAGACAGGAAGACTGAACATTGTGAAAATGTCAATACTACCCAAAGCAATCTATATATTCAATGTAATCCTGATCCAGACTCCATCAACATTCTTTAAGGACATGGAAAAATGAATCACTAATTATATATAGAAAGGAAAGAGCCCTTGGATAAGCAAAGCACTACTGAAGAAGAAGGACAAAGTATATGGTCTCATACTCCCAGATCTCAAAGCATATTATGCACCCACAGAAGTCAAAACAGCTTGGTATTGGTACAACAATAGACACATGGATGAGTAGAACAGAATAGAGAACCCAGAAATAGATCCATCTACCTAAGGTCAGGTGATCTTTGAAAAAGGGCTAGAATACATTAAATGGGGAAGAGATAGTCTCTTTAGCAAATGGTGCTAGAAAAACTGGATATCCATTTGCATAAAAAGGAAACAAGATCCATAGCTTACACCATACACAAAAATTAACTCCAGATAGACCAAAGAGTTAACTGTGAAACCTAAAAAGCTATACAATTCATCAAAGAAAAAATTGGGGCAAATTTAGGGGACCTAATATATGGCATTAATAGAACATCAAACATAAGTGAAAATGTACAAACAACAGAAGATAAACTAGATGATTAAGATTGTCTAAAAATTAAATTCTTACATGCATTCAAAGACTTCTCCAAAGGCTAAAAAGAGAACCTACAGACTGGAAAAAAATATTCACCAATGACATATCTCACAAGGGACTTATCTCTAAAATTTATAGAAAACACCTCAATATCAAAAAGACAAACAATCCAATTAAAAAATGTGCAGAAGACATGAACAGAGACCTCACTAAAGAAGATACTCAGGTGCCCAACAAACACATGAAGAAATGTTTGTGATCACTAGCCATTAGAGAGATGCAAATCAAAGTACCAGTGAGATCCCATCTCACCCCAGCACTAATAGCAAAGTTTAAAAGACAGAAAAGAACAAATGCTGGTAAAGATGTGGAGAGATTGGAACTCTCATACAACACTGCTGGCAGGACTTTAAAATGATAAAACTGTGGAAAGCAGTATGATGATTCCTTAAAAGGTTGGAAACAGAAATACCATTTGATCCAGCAAACCCATGAATAGGTACATATCCTAAAGAAGTGAAAGAGCCAGGACCTGAATAGACATATGTATACTGATGTTCATTGCAGTACTCTTCACAATATCAAACAGATAGAAACAACCAAAGTTCCAAGCTCTGGTGGTGTAGTGCTTAAGGCATTTGATGACCAACCGGAAGGCTGGTGGTTCAAAGCCACCAGCCACTCCTCGGAAGGAAGATTGGACAATCTACTTCCATAGTGATACTGCCTTGGAAACCCAAAGAGGAGTTGCTATGACTTGGATCTGACTTGATGACAGTGAGGTGTTTTTTTTTTTTTTTTGGATAACCAACTATGTTACAGACATACAATGGAATATTATGAAACACTAAAGAATAATGGGGAGCTCTGGTAGCTTAGTGCCTAAGGCACTTGACTGCTAATCATAAAGCTGGCAGTTCAAACCCACCAGCCACTCCTCGGAAGGAAGATGAGGCAATCTATTTCCATAGTGATACTGCCTCGGAAACCCAAGGAGGGGTCGCTATGAGTCGGATCTGACTCCACGGCACATAACAACAACAACAAAGAACAATGCAAAATCTATGAAACACCTAGTAACATTAATGTACTTGGAAAACATTATGCAGAATGAAATAAGTCAGTCAACAAGGACAAATATTATATTCATCCACTATTGCAATAAGTCAAGGAATGGTTTACATATGGAAGGAAATTTTCTTTCTTGGTTACCAGGGATGGGAGGGGAGTGGAAGGAAATTTGCTAGGTAGCTGAGAGACAGGTATTGATTTGGGTGAAGGTAAAAGAAATATGCTAAAAGCAAGTAACCAACACAATAACACTAAGGAAAAGGAAGACACAGAGAGATGCTCAAGAGCTACAGACAACAAACATTAATAAATAATAATTAATCAATTATCAATAAAAGTAATAAAGGTTAATTAAGAGATTAATTGCTAAAGATTAGTTAATAATTAATAGTGATTAATAATTGATTAATTTAAATTAATTAATAAAGATTAAGGTCACCACAAACATATAATAGATATACACACACAATACTGCATTATTGGTGATAAATATTAATCTACAGGTCAGTACATAGGTAGACAGACTGAATTATCAGGTATGTCTAGGCAAAAGGGAATATACCCATGACCATATATAAGTTTTAAATTAAAAATAAATAAATAAACTAACAAATGGAAAAAAGATTGAAAATACTGACATATTAAAGCTTAAATGAAGACAAATTAAAAGCTTACCTGAAACTCTTGAATAAGAGGTTGCATAATTTCTGAGTAATTATAACCATAAACCCTAAAATATCGGGGCAAAAAATTTCTATAAAACAGAAAAGAAAATTAATGAGGGGAAAAGCCATATTGTTTCCTACAGCTTTAGTAGAAAATAAATTCATTTTATTATATTTATCAGAATTATGAATTTCACTCCAAACTTAACTTCAAAATTCTGGCCTCAGGAATTCTTGCTCATTCCACTTTACTTATACTACCCTGTGAGCTATTTCTGTGATATAGTAGGGATGTTCCTGCCTCAGTACATTGGTCGTTGCTGTTTCCTCTTTCTGTAATATCCTTCAACATAATTCCTTCCCTGACCTAACTAAAACTATGCCTTCTCAGTTAGAGTTATCTTGACTCTTTTATTCAAAATTCTAACTCCTGTAACTCAAAACATGGAAGGCCAAAACCTACCTTGCTTTATTTTTTCCTATATTATTCATCATCTTCTAACATTCTTTCCAGTGTACTTTTCCATTGCATTATTGTCACATTCCACAAGTTTGTAAGCTCCAAAAATCATAGAACTTTTCACCTATTTCCCTCATTAATGCATTCTAAGCATTTAGAATAATGTGATGTTTAAAGTATATGGCTACTTACTGAATTCTTTATATTTGCTAAATACATTTTTCTAATTAAAATTAAAAACTTAAGAAATTACCCTTATTGTCTTTTAATTCAGGCCTTTTCATATTTCTAACAAACAGAAATCTAAAAGGAAATTTTGTACTGTTGAAAAAGAATATGGGAACAGATGCTCGAGTTTCAACCTAAAATATCTACTGTACAGTCTTAGACTGGGAAATCTACTTTCATAAAGATACTGCTTCAGAAACCCAAGGAGAGGTTGCTATGAGTCGCAACCAACTGAATGGCAGTGAGTTTTTTTTTTTTTTTTTTTTAATATACACTCTTTGGAAAATTTAAAAACAATAAGAAAAATTAAGAACTAGATGAAAGCATAGTAATTACAAATATTTCTAAATGATCTTTTGAGATAGAAAGGACATTAAAAGTTATTATTTCTAGATTACAAAAACCAGTCATAAATAAATCAAAGAAATATTGCATACTTTTGTGTGAGGTTCACAGTGTATGTTTTCCCGTCAATTAATATGTTATAAAACACCTGGAATGAAAGCATACAGAATAGACAAAGTAAATAGAGAATATTGTAAAGCACAACTATCAGTTTAATGAAAATGAAATTTCATTTTAAATTGGAATTCAATGTGGACATCATTACTTTAATTGATGTTAAAAGATTGAAGTTCATAGTATAATTAACAAATATAATTATATCACTTGTGTAATTCTTTGTTAATTTAATTTATTCCACAAAAAATACAAACTGAACATCAATGAATTTTTAAGCAGTAACTACATTGGCTTAATAAAGATTAAGGTCACCACAAGACATTTTTTTGAATACTTAGGACATAGCATGAAATAGGTTAACTAAATAGAAAAGATCATTTTAAAATATCATAGTTATTAGCATACAATAGATTTAGATAAACGCAAAAACGAAACCCAACCCACTACCATCAAGTTGATTCTGCCCGAGAAGAACTGCCCTATAGGGTTTCCGAGGCTGGGAAGCAGACTGCCTCAATTTTCTCCTGCAGTACATCTCATGGGTTCAAACTGCTGACCTTTAGGCTAGCAGCCAAATGCTGTGCCACCAGAGTTCCCCAGATAATTTATATGCATGTTATAAAATTTATATCTAATATGTTTATGTGTTATGCATGTTGATTTATTTAAATTTTAATAAATAAATTTAGCAACATGAAGCCAAGTCTCAAAAATCAATGTAACAGTAAATATTAACAACTAAAAGAAAATGACATTAAAGTTCATACCATTCAAAATAGAATAAAAAATATAAAATCATTAGTATACTGATAAAGGATCTCTAAGACACTATAGAGAAAATTATTACGTAATACTGAGAGAAATTAGAGAATTCTTAATTTACTGACAGAATATACTTCATTCCCCAACTGGCATACATGCTCTGTATTACAAATATACCAATTCTTCCCAAATTTATCTATAAATCTGTTGCAAATTTAATCTTAATATATTAAGATCCCAATAGATAATTTTGTGTGTATAGACAAGCTTATTTTAAGTTTATATAAAGATGTATTGGTGAAAATAGCCAAGGCAATTTTCAAGAAGTAGTATAGAGTAGTTAATCTTAAATACAGAAAACAGGCAATCAATTATGAGGATGGTTCTGCAGAGATGTAAGGAAAGGATACACACTTCAACAAATGATGAGGTTGAGTCAATTGGATATCCTTAAGAGGAGAAATATTGACCCTTGTTATATAAATTCTCACATATTAATCCTTCTAATATTCTGCTTTCACCATTTTCTCTTTTTCAGGAATGGCAATTAAATATGTATTTGAATATCTAGATCTATTATCCATTACTCTTAATTTTTCTTTCATATTTTACACCTTTTTCCTTTGCTAAATCTTGATAATTTTGTTAGGTCTACTGATTTCACTAATTTTCTCTTTCCCTCTTCTACTGCTTAAACCAAAAACACCAAACTCACTGCTGTCCAGTTGATTCCACTCCTAGCGAATCTTCCTTGGGTGGTTTCCCAGGTGATATCTCTACTGAAGTAGATTGCCCAATCTTCCTTCCCAGGAGTAGCTAGTAGGTTTGAACCACCAGCCTTCTGGTTAGTAGTCAAATGCCCTAGGTACTATGCCACCAGAGCATTCCTAACTGATAATTATTCACCTTTTTGTTAAAACAAAGCAAAACAAAAAACAATATTCTGCTATGGATTGAATTATGTCCTCAAAAACATAAAAGTTGTAAATCTGTGTGTTTGGACTGTCTTTGTATGGAGTGGATTGTCTTTATTATGTTAATCAGGCAGGATTAGTGTGGAGTGTATTTTGAATCAATCTCATTTGGAATATAAAAGAGACTAAATTAGTGAGAAGAGGAGAAATGGGATAAAATCAATGCCAATACACATGAAGATCTCCAAGTAACTAAGAAGTGGAAGCTAAAGAGACAAAGACCTTTCTCCAGAGCCAACAGAGAGAGAAAATCTCCCCCTATAGCTGCACTCTGAATTCAGATTTCTAGCCTCCTAGACTGTGAAAAAATACATTTCTGTTTGTTAAAGCCATCCACTTGTGGTATTTCTGTCGTAGTAGCACTAGATAACCAAGATAAACTGCCTACATTTTTTTTATATCTTGAAGTTCCAGGCAGAATACATTTTTTTATTTATTAATTTTAATTATTTTTATTTTAAGAGTTTTTTTTTTACATTCAACATTACGTGTACATTTAGTTTCACTTCCCATTTACCATACCCAACCCTAACCCAGTCTCCTCCCCTCCCTGCCCAGTAATACCCACCGAAACCCCCCTCCAACACCTGCCCCTCATAGGTATGCACTCCTGTTTGTCCTGCATTTCCTCTGTGTGAATGTTGCTCCTCTGGTGCCTCCCAGTCGATTGCTGCAAGGAATGCATTTCCATGGAGTATGGGGTGCGCTACCCTGGGTTGAGTGGTCTCGTGCAGAATATTTTAAATCATCAACACTATTAAACCACTATGGATACTTCAGATAATTTCTGTATATTTTATATTGTAATTTTAATAATTTAACTACCTAGCAGACACAGTTATAGGCACTGGGAATGCAAAACTTAAGAAAAAATAGAAAAAGATCTGCCTTCATGAACTTATACATGCTTAGATGTCTAATTCTGATACTTATTTTTTTCTGCTGCTACTACTTAAGTTGAATTACTATCTTGTAAGGCCCTTGTAATGCCTCCTGGGTTGAAGTTATTATATCCCAAAAGACACTACGTTTACTTCATAGAATATAATCAAAGTCCCATAATATGTTGCAATTTTGATGTAGAATTCCCATAAAGGTCTTGAACTCATTATTTTATTTGTATTAAAATGGTAAAAACATGAGATATTCTGAAAGACATACATAGTTCTTTGGAAAATCTATGGCATATTTAGACATTTAAGCTATAAAACTCTGTCTTAGGGAAGTAAACAACAAGTTTCTGAGGAAATTATTCCATTCAAATAACCATAACACATAAATGACCACACAAAAATACAATTGAGGTGTAGTGTTCCAAGGAACACAATTTCACCTCTATAGAAGTTATTCTAGAATTTAGGAGAAGAAGCTACTCAATAAATCTAAAAAAGAAAAAGAAAAACAAATAACATAGCCTTGCTTCCAAAACAAAACTAAAATAACATCAAAAGAATTAATCCTAATTGTTGTTATGTTTGCAATAAAGTAGAAAACTACTAACGCTCTAAAACTGTAAACCAAACTTACTGCCATCCAGTCCATTCCAACTCATAGTGACCCCCTTCGGGTTTCCCAGGTGGTAGATCTTTACGGACCTACATTGCTCAGTCTACCTTCTAGCTAGTGGTTGGTGGGTTTGAACCGCTAACCTTCTGGTTCGCAGTTAAATGCCTTAGGCACTACACCACCAGCGCTCCTTACTAATGTGCTACACATCAAATCAAACAATGAACAGTCTGTGGAATAAGTCCCTTGAAATCATATCCCTCTACATGTTGTTGTTATGTGCCGTCAAGTCAGATCTGACTTATAGCGACCTCTCCTTGGGTTTCCGAGGCGATATCACTACAGAAGTAGATTGCCCAACCTTTCTTCCGAGGAGTGGCTGTTGGGTTTGAACCGCCAGCCTTCTGGTTAGCAGTCAAGTGCCTTAGGTATTATGCTACCAGAGCTCCACAGCTGTGTTTAAAAAGAGCCGGTCAAAAAAAGAGAAAAATCCCTAGCTGGAGTCAGTTGGCTGATTTCCTATATAATTATACTACCCAGGAGGGAGGTGAATTTCAGTAGTTTGATATGCAGCAAGATTGCACTATATTCCTAATAAGCATTTTTAATCTTGATTCACATTCAAAAGGGATTTCCACCTCAGAAAATCTGAGCACGAATACAAAATCCATTAAATGACTATGGACCGACAATATCAAGTTAACTCCTTAGATATTACACAGTCAAATGATTTCAAGGAGCAAAACAAAAGAAAAAACAACGTAATTCTTAATCACTTGCGATTCAAAGTCTTCGCTTGCATTTGATCCTATTTTCTGTGGAACTATAATCTGTAAATCCAGTTGTCCGGTATCTGTAAGGAGCAGAATGGTTAGTAGAACACTCTCCATCTCGCAACTTTCTTTTCTACTTCTACATCTAAATTCAAATCTTACGTTTTACTTGCTACTATCTTTTCAAATTCCCTCAATCCCCATTTCTTTCTGTAATTATGTGTTTTAAATAGAAAGACGGATATAGCTTTAGGACTGTTTCCCTGTAGAGGGCAGTATCTGACACGCCAATCCTGAGGCTTTCACCGGAGCCAACGTTTCATCTTTCTTAGAGTCTCAGGACAAGTGGCAGAACCCCGATTCATCTAATGTGAATTGTGTTTGGGGAAGGCGGCAAGGTAGGAGTGGGCTTGATCTTGCAGGGTTAAAGCCCCCGTAAGGGAAACACCTCAGGAGCGCCCAGACTAACTGGTCACCAGGGGGAGGGGAGAGCTGACTTTGTCCCGGAGGGCAGGGGAAAGGCTTTTTCTCCTTACCAGCATCTGTTCGGAGCTTGCTGAGCCCAAAGAGCATAAATAGGAGGCTCAACATGGTTTGACCTCCTGGATTCCAGCTCGAATAATGGCAGTTGGCTTGGTTACAAGACAGTTACGCACGCGGGGAAACACAACTTTAGCCGCGCTCTGCAAAAACTGGACAACTGTGAGAGCGGAGGTTTGTTCTAAAGGCGAGCAGTGTAAGTGGCTGAGCATGAGCTGTCTTGGTGTTTATATCTCTCGCAGACAAAAGTTTCAATTTGATTTGACTCTGGAACTGAAGGGGGGAGGGGAAGACAGAACCACTTCCTAAAGAAAAGGCAGAAGAAACAAATGTTGAATGCGAAGATTCATATATTCTTTTTTAAAAAAGTAAACTTGGATTAAAATGTAATTTATAAGTAATTCATAATTGCACAGCTGGACAAATTTTCATAAAGTAAGCATGCCAATGTAACACAGACCATAAATACCTTACCAGAGCCACAGGGTACACATTACCAATCATTTCCAAAGATCGTTTTTTACTTCTTTAATTATAGAAATTGCATCATACATATACACCTTTTGTGTCTGTATTCATTCAGTATTGTTGATGTTTTTGATTCATGATGTTGCATGCAGGCTAATTCAATCTCATTGTGATACTGTTATTTCATTTTATGAAATATATTTTATTTTTCAATTTTATTGTTAAAGAACATTTGGATTGTTTCCAGTTTTAGGTTATTATGGATAACACTGATAAGCTAACAATTGTTGGTAAATTTCTTCGAATTGGTTCTGACTCAGAGCTATCCTATATACAATACAACAAATCACTGCTGGGTCTCTCACCAACCTCAACAATTGTTGCTGTGTCTGAGTCCGTTGTTGCAGCCACTGTGTCAGTACACCTTCTTGAAGACCTTCCTCTTTTTCACTGACCCCCTACTTTAGCAAACATGATGTCTTTCTCCGGGAACTGTCCTGCTTCTCCTGATGTGACCAAATTGCATGACAAGAAATCTTATGATCCTTGCTTCTAAGGAACATGCTGGCTGTACTTCTTCCAAAGGCACATTTTTTTTTCCTTCTGGCAGTTCATAGTATATTCAATATTCTTGGCCAATACCGTAATTCAAATATATCTTTTCCTCTTTGGTCTTCCATATTCATTGCTCACCTTTTCCATGCATATGAGGCATTTGAAAATACCATGGCTTAGATTAGGGACACCTTAGTCCTCCAAGTGACATCTTTGCTGTTTTACACTTTAAAGAGGTATTTTGCAGCTGATTTGCAATGCAAAATCACTAACATTTAGCTTAGCTACATTTTACATTATTGTGTACCCTTAATCCCACCACCCAAATCAATGCAGACATTTTCATCACTCTAAAAAGTTCTCTGGTGCCTATTTCAGTCATTCGAAACTGTAGGTAACCATTATTCTGCCTCTAGCTCTGTTGAGCAGATTTACCTGTTCTTTAATTTATATAAATGGAATACTACAGTACATATTATTTTATGTTTAATTATTTTTGCAAAAATATATATTTTTTAATTTATCCATATTTTAGAGGGTAATTAATTTATCATATGCCTGTGCATGCACACATGTTTAACTTCAAGCAGCATTCCATGGTATCAGTATATAAAGATCTACTCATTTTGTTGTTCAGCGATATCTTTGTTGTTTCCAGTGTTTGGTGAACATGGATAATTGTGCTATGAACATTTTAGTACAATCTTTTTCTGGATATATGCTCTCATTTATCCAAATCTGTCTTTGGAAAAAGTACAGCCAGAATATTCCTTAAAAGCTAGGATCATAGATTTCCTTTCATGTAATTTGGACACTTTATAATTACTTGTGCATGTAATTGCTGTTCATGGAGTAGTTGTCTATTTAGAGTTACTAGAAGTTGCCATGGGA